TTCTTCCAGAGATAGATAGACTGCAAAAATAAAGAAAACCGGGTAAAAACTTGCCCAGAATTTCATCAAGATACAGCAAACTCGGCAAGCTCAGCATGATCGCCGGAACGCAATTACCAATACAGTCTTGCAAGAGGCAAACCAGAGCAGGTTTGGTCGTGTCTCGTATACTCAATGCTTCGCCCTTGAAGAAAATTGGGAGAGGTGATAATGGCGGTAGAAGAGGAAGAGGGAAACTGGTGATAATGATAATAATGATGGTAATCATGTGCTTTTAATAACGATGCTACCAAGGGAATGATCATGATAATGATGATGTTCGTTACTATTATCGTCCTTGTTATCAACGCTGTAATCTGCATTTTTTTTTGTAGAGAAATCTATTGATTATACAATTATTATCGTTGTCATTATCATCACATTACTGTCATCTGAGATACATACACACATACATACATATATATATATATATATATATATATATATATAATATATATATATATATATATATATATATATATATATATATACATATATATACTCGTATATACACACAAACATATACTCATATATAACACAAACACACTCACACACACATATATACATGTACCATATATGTCCGTATATGTGTACATATATATATATATATATATATATATATATATATATATATATATATATATATATATATATATATATATATATATATATATTATATATATTACATGTTAGTCTGTGTGTGGCAAACAGGATGATGAAAACGACAGAGAAAACAGATATCGAAAAATACCCAAATGAGAATGAGGAACGAAAAAGCGGCCCATTTCTTTGCCAAGCCCAAAATGAGAGGACGTGACACACCACTTGGCACGAACGCATTATGCCTCTGGGCCTCTGTAGCGTTGCAGACCTTAATCAACTTTGCAATGGGGGAGAGTCCTGCGAGGCCTTTTCCTACCCTCTGTCAGTATTTCATCAGCTGACGCTCGAAATGAGGTCAAATTTCCCACTGGTAATTCCGAAGTGAAGGTAAAAAAAAGAAAAAAAAAAAAAAAAAAAAACAGGAAGAAAAAAGAAAGTGAAAAAGAGTGTTACGAAATCTCGGTTTAAAAATAGGGATAAAAAAGGAAAAAAAAAAAAATAGAGGAAAAAAAGTAAAAAAAAGGGTAAAAAAAAAGAATGGTATCAAACTTTCGATAATTCGGGGAAAGTAAACCCATTTATTTCCCGAATTTTTTTCTTCTTTTTTTCTTTTTTTTTTTTTTTTTTTTTTTTGTCTGTGGCTGAAATTTGCGTAGACATTTTGAGGTTTTATGTGAAGTTCTTCATGATTACTAGGAAAATCCTTTCAGAAAAAAAACTTTTGTGTAACTTAGATATTAAGAGAGATCTCCTTTTGATATAATATAATTCCCTAATGGAATATGTAAATGTGATACCTTTGGCAATGCAAATTTAATGTAGTGTGAGCATGTACATTTGAAAGAATATTATGTAATCCTGGACCTACAGAGGAATGGAATATTCATTGACATAAAGCAAATGAAATGAACCTAGCTTCCTGTACAATATAAGTCAAGGAAGATTATACATAATGTATTTACTCGACCTTATCCCTTCTGAGGCATGAGAAAGAAAAAAAAGTGATTATTACATCCTTTATATATATATATATATATATATATATATATATATATATATATATATATATATATATATATTTTTTTTTTTTTCTTTCTTTCTTTTCTTTTTCTTTCTTTCTTTCTTTTTTTTCTTTTTTTCTTTTTTCTTTTTTTCTTTTATTTTCTTTTTTTTTTTCTTTTTTTGTTCATTATTACTCTTATCTTCATTATTACTATCATTATCGTAATCATTTTCAGGTTACCATTATTGTTAGTATAATATGCTTGATTACTAATATTATATTTTCTTAGTACTGTCTTTATAATTCTTCCTGGTATCATCATAATGATAATCAATAATAATTGACATTACTACTATCATTACAATAGTTATAGTAAAAGTAATATTACTAATTATTATCATCTTTATTATTATCATTATCGTCATCATCACTCTTATCAATATTACTAATATTGTCGATTTTATAATTTTCATTATTATTGATATTATCATCATCATTTTTATGATTCTTATTGTATTCCTCTTATTATTTTTATCATCGCCATCATTACAATTATTAATCTTATTATCTATATTATTACTATCATCACTATTACTATTATTATTATCATCATTGTTCAATAATATAATTATTCTCATTATAGTTATTATTTTTAATACTATCATAATTATTACTATTATTATTATCATAATTTCCACCACTACTACCACTTTCATTATAATAATAATCATTATTATCATTATTATTACTATTACCATTACCATTATTATCATCATTATTACCCTTATTATTATGATCCTTATCAATATCATTACCACCAACGCTATTACCATCATCAAACTCAGCTTGATGAATAAATGATGCAAATAGGAGTAGAAATGATAATAATAACAATGAATAAATTAAAATATTATTATTTTCCCTAGATCTCCCCATTCACTTATTCACTACTGTTATCATCAGTATGTCAGTTCAGGTTCAAAGTCTATTTCCTTTTATAGCTATGTTGACTTTTAAAATGCATTAGATTCTGTTGTTTATTAAAAAAAAAAAAAAAAAAAAAAAAAAAAAAAAAAAAAAAAACACTATATGGTTATTTC